TTTTCTGGCAGTGGCTGTGCTGATAGGAATGGGATCTGAATCTCCGTGGGGAGCTTTAGGTCAAACTAAACTGCCTTTGCCTCTGGGTCACCAGATTCTAGTAACTGATGCACCCCCATTTCACTCTGCTGCAAACAGGCCGACTTGGAAGGAGAGGCTGCTGATACAGCAAGCCAATATCGGGGAGAAAAGGACCATTAAAGTGCTTATGGTGAACACACACTGACAGCCTCCCACTGGTTTCAGTTTTAGAACATGGACGCTCCATGAAGGCAAATAATCAATGTTTGTATTAGGGTTCTTCAGAGAAATACAACCAATAAGATATGTCTTATCCATCTAGTCTAATCTAGTTTAATCTATCTAATCCAGCTAGGCTGTCTAGAGAGACTTACTTCCAGTAACTGGCTCACACCATTTTGGGGGCTGGCAAGTCTGAAATCTGTAGAGTGGGCCAGCAGGCTGGAAATTCAGGTGAGAATTGATGTTGCAGTCTTCAGTCCAAAATCTGCCCGGCAGGCTAGCAGGCAGGATTTCTGCATTGCTGTCTTGAGGCAGACGATCCTTTGTGGATCGAACATAGAGTCCAGCACACACTAGTCACCAGTGAACATGTGTGGAATGAGGGAATGGATGAAGGAACACCCATCTGCGAGGCAGCTTCAGGGAGGTGCTAGGCGTACGGGCTCTGGGGTCAGACTGCCTGGGTTGGGTCCGAGCTCTGTCACTTTCTGTGTGACTTCAGCTACGTCGCATAACTCTTCTGGGCCTCAACTTCCTTACTTTAAAAATGGCAATAATATTACCTACTTCCTAGGAGTTTTCTGAAGACTAAATCTGTAGAAAGTACTTAGAACCTCATCTGGCACACGATAAGCATTCCATAAATGTTAACAACTATTATGATTATTATTTTCTGAACCCAGACTGACATAGTATCCCACTGGGGGCAGGGGAAAGTATATCCATGATTATTTAATTTTCCTCTGAAAGTTTTAGCCAGGAAACAGAAGACAAGGGCATATTTACTAGAAAAGTGGGGATAAAGTGATTATTTTAAGATGTATGAAATGATTATTTCCCTGAAAGAAGCCAAGAGAATAAGCCAAAAGATTTTTAGAATCCATATTAGCAGCAAGATGGCATATATAGAAGAAATACATAACAATCAGCATTACCCAATTACAAAATATTGTGGTGGAGGGAAGGAAGCTATCAAATTTAAAGGACCTTACGATGGGTGTCGTCTATACATTGATATTTGATATAGATAAATAAAACATGGACATCTTGTAATTCTTGAATTCTTAGAATAAACCTTATTTGGTCCTATTTTATTAAATTCACATATTTGTTATTTTGGTTTGCTAATATTTTCTTAGATATTTTCATCTTAATTTTTTGTGTCCTTTTTTGCTAGATTTTAGTATTGAGGTCAAATCAGTTCTTTAAAAAACCTGGGACACTTTTTATGCTTAGAAAGTGCTGGAGAAGGTGATATAGCGAGGCACTTACACAGCAAAAGGCAGGATGGTGCGGGTGACGGTGGAGTCAGACACTCTGCTTTCAGCCCTGGTCTGTTTCCATCAGCTATGTGACTTTATGCAGGTTACGTCATTACTACAAGCTTTGCTTCCCGCATCTGCAAAGTGGGCACAACAGCGGTACCTGCGTCAAAGAGGAGAGAAAGTAGGGGTTGCAGGGGGAGATGAAGGACAACTTCTGTGGACCTGGCTGCACCCACCACTCCCTGGTCTCTGCTTTGGAAGGCCCCCTCCTTTGCCAGGGACTCCTGGGCTTTGGACCCTCATTCCCTGTTGAGGGACTTCCACAGCCTTTGGTCCCCAATTCCACTCAGGTTTCTTTCATTGTAGGATTTTGTGTACAGGGGCAGGCAGGGAAGGAGGTGAATATATTGAAGCAGAGGAATTATAAGTGATAAAACTACTTAAAAATAGGCCTTTTTTGTTCTATGCTCTCCTAAATTCTATTAGGGTTTAACTTAACCAGTCTGATTGCCTGGTTTCTCAATGTACAAACATTGAAAAATGCAGAAAAGATGATACCTCCAGAGTGGTGTGCTGATGGCTTCCTCAGGAACACTGTCCTAGTTCTTATGCAGGTGCCTGGATCCCTTGTGACCAGTCCTTGTGGGACTGGAGAATTCTGTGGGAAATCTGAAGCACTTCCTCAAAATGCAACTTTGCGGTTGTTTGAAGATAAAAGTGGGGGCTATCAATGGGCCCTTGTGAACTTCTCTAGAACTTTTGAGGAATTCTGAAATATTTTCTCCTGCCATCTCGTGCTTCTTCCCCTCTGGGCATCTAAAGCATGTATTTTGTCTACTGTCCATTTGGTATTTATTTTTGATTCATAACTGCTGATAACATGAGTTACAAAAAAATCTTCCAGATTAAAGAACTTTGGGTTTGCTGTTTCTAATAGTTAGGGTCTGGCCGTCATCAGGGGTTCACTGGTTTCTGCTCCCAGCTGAGCCCCTGGCTCAGCACTGGGTGAGGCTGCAAGCCTGGTGGCTGCTGCCCCCACCCCAGAATACCTTTCCTGGGAATTCACACAAAAGGCTGTTCAGCAGCTCAGTTCAGTGCACTAATGGGAACTTTCTTCCTAGTATGATCACAAGAATTGAAGGAATGTCAACATCAGGACTGTCTAGAGAAATTTAATCGAAATGAGATGGCAAAGGAATATGTTCCAGATGAAGGAACAAGATAAAACCCCAGAAGAACAACTAAGTGAAGTGGAGATAAGCAATGTACCTGAGAAAGAGTTCAGAGTAATGATCGTAAAGATGATCCAAGAACTCGGGAAGAGAACGGATGCACAGAGCGAGAAGTTACAAGAAGATTTTAACAAAGAGTCAGAAAATATAAAGAACAACCAAATAGAGTTGAAGAATACAATAACTGAAATGAAAAGTACACTAGAAGGAATCAATAGCAGAATAAATGAGACCCCCCCCCAAAAAAAAAGAATAAATGAGGCAGAAGAACGAATCATTGAGCTGGAAGACAGAGTGGTGGAAGTCACTGCCACAGAACAGAATAAAGAATGAAAAGAAATGAGGACAGTTTAAGAGACCTCTGGGACAACATCAAATGCACCAACATTCACATTATAGGGGTCCCAGAAGGAGAAGAGAGAGACAAAGGGCCTGAGAAAATATTTGAAGAGATAATAGCTGAAAACTTCCCTAACATGAGAAAGGAAACAGTAACCCAACTCCTGGAGGCACAGAGATTCCCATACAGGATTAACCCAAGGAGGAACATGCTGAGACACATAATAATCAAATTGACAAAAATTAAAGGTAAGGAGAAAATGTTGAAAGCAACAAGGGAAAAGCAACAAATAACACACAAGGGAATCCCCATAATGTTATCAGCTTACTTTTCAGCAGAAACTCTGCAGGCCAGAAGGGAGTGGCACAATGTATTTAAAGTGATGAGAGGGAAACACCTACAACTAAGAATACTCTACCCAGCAGGGTTCTCATTCAGATTTGATGGAGAAGTCAAAAGCATTACAGACAAGCAAAAGCTAAAAGAATTCAGGGCCACCAAACCAGCTTTACAACAAATGCTAAAGGAACTTCTCTAGACAGAAAAGAGGAGGCCACAACTAGAAACAAGAAAAATACCAAATGGAAAAGCTCACCTGTAAAGGACTGTCAAGAGAGAAAAAGATTTTTTCTGTGTGAGGAAGAAAGTTTTGAAGAAGTCTGTGTTTATAGGAATCTCAAACTTGTCTTCTGAAGATGGGTCGAGTGTTGTGTATTTGTGTAAACTCGAGGCTAGTACCTTGCACATAGTTTAACTAAAAAGGAGGGTCTTGGCTGCATTTGAAGGCACTGTGAATGCAGATTCTCTGCCCACGAGGAGCTGCCGGGTTGCAGGCTGCTGCATGTTTTTGTAGGACCATGCAAGTGGTTTTCTTTTCTCCTTTAAAAGAATCAAAAAAAATTTTTTTAAACCATACTTTCCCCTTATTTGGTCTCAAGAATAAAAAATATGATTGTTTTAGTACTATAATATAATTCCTGTGACTTCATATCACAATATTAAGTGTGCCCTGGTGAGATTTCTGTCCTCTTCTGCTCCAGCACAACCACAAAACCAGGAAGCGGGAAAATACTGCGAGACTGGTATACATGAAGCCCTGATGGGGAGGGAACTCAGCCACTGAGCTGGTTACCCGCTCCTGTGCTGGTTCCTGGCTCCGTTTTACCTTTGTCCACTGGCTTCCCCCTTTCTTCCAACCTCAAAGCCTTTGCTACCCTAGGTAGCCAGGACTCATGTTCTCCCCATTTATCTTCTCTCATCTGCTCTGGGCTTCGGTCCTTCTCTGTGAAAGCGGGCTGAGCCCTCATGGGAGGAGAACTGGGGAGGGGGCCATCCTTTTCCTTCCTTTATAAGAAATGAAGTGAAAGGAAGCAAAGATGAGACAAGGTGTGGTGTACCTTGACATTCTGCTGACAAATAGCCTACACGCCCCCTTTGCTGACTCCTGTCTTCAGGGAAAAGCCATGTCTTGAATTGATACACAGCAAAACAGCTCTTTCTGATTACCCCACTATGTGTGTCCTTTCCCGATATGCAAAAACATGTAAAAATAGCCATGGGAATGATCAAGCAGATTTGTGCTGTTACATTCCAGGGATTTCACTTCATGGGCACAGATTTTAAAAATTTCCCAACATGGTCAGGCATGAGTACACGGAACTCTGTGGAGTGGACTGGGTTTGGCAGTGAAATGTGTGTGCCAGTCCCACAGAGTCAGACTTCATTGTTTTATTTCCCGTAAAGCCCTGTGACGTCACAGCATTTCAGGATACATTGTTGTTCTGTGTAGGTTCCTGCTTATCGAGAGCCTCTACCAGGTGTGGGTGTCCGAAGCGAACCGTCAAGTTGATTGACAGCAGGTAGGGTCACCTTGTTGGCTCCTCTGATGCCCATGTATGTTTTGTCTCCTGTCTCCGTTAGGCGGGGCAAGAAGCACAGCATCATCCTAAGGACACAGCTGTCCGTGAGGGTCCACGCCTGCATCGGTGAGTGACATCTGCCGGAGGGGATGCTTGTCATCTGCCCTCAGTGATTAAACGTGATGATTAATGCCACTTACGGGAATGAAATGCAATAGTCACCATTTTGCTATCTATGCTGGGGTTAGCCCCTGTCATATATTGTTAGAGATTTGAGGGAAGCTGTTTCTGGCAAGGTTTGGAAACCCTGTCTCATTCTGGCTGCCTTTGCTGTTTGGTTTGTGAACAGAGCTCGAGGTAAGACAGACACATCGGTGATGAGGTTCTTTTTTGGCAGTGCTGGGAGAGATGGGCTTCTTCCTGGGGCTGTGCCAGTGTGAACCTCCAGCCAGTTGAAGTGACCTTTTTTTTTTTAAAATTTATTTTTTTATACAGCAGGTTCTTGTGAGTCACCCATTTTATACACATCAGTGTATACATGTCAATCCCAATCTAAAGTGACCTTTACGTGCCTTCTGGTGGCTCTCTGCAGCTCCCTGTGGGGCAGTGGGGCCTGAAGCTCCAGGCTGTGGTCTCAGGAGATTGAAGGGAAGCCTCAGGTCAGTGCAGGACAGGGCACACGTGGATGCAGAGCAATACGGTGTTGAGCGGACGTATTTGTGGTTCAGATGGCTTGCCTGCGGTCACTCGGGAAACCCCACTGACGCCCATTCCTGCAGCCACTGATTTTCCGGGACCCATTGCTTTCCCCATTATACACGTGGGCTGAATGGTAACAAAAGTGGTAATTTATGCTAAGTAGACAGTCTCCATGGGAAGGTGTCCTCCTGGCATTGGGCCAAGTTGAGGCAAGTATGTAATATAAAAAGGAAAAAGAAAGGAACTAAATTTCATTTTATGCATAGAAGTTTTCCATATCTGAGTCATTTTGTGTTTATTTAATACATGTTGTGGTCTTAATTCAGGCCTGCAATTAGCAGAGCGTCAATCATCCTGTCGAGGCCCAGTCTACACCTGGAGTGTGGCATGCATGGGTGGAGTGGAGGGAATCGTCTCTGGTTCCTCTTCTTTCTCCCTGCTTTCCTGTTGGAGACCCAGGGATGGGATGAGGGAACAGCTGGATGTGGAGGGGAAGCTGTGTAATTTTACTTCATTTGGTGTGAAGTGGGTGAGGCTGCAGGTGTCCCGAGGGACAGTGTTTGTCTTACTCTGTGGTTGGCGGGTAATTGTGTAGCCGACATGTAAACCTCAGGGGCTGGAGGGTCAGGGTGTCAGGAGGGTTCGTGATCTCGTTGGAGACAAAACGAGATCTGTAGGACCTTCATTACTGACCCTGCTCCTCAACTGCCTGTAGCACTGAGTGACCTTAAAATATGCACCAAAATATGCTTTCTTTGTTACTTGCTTTATATTTTTCAAATGATTTTATGTGTATAAATCATGTCTGCCTGAAGAAAAAGCCTGTGACCTATGACTTTGGATGAATTCCCTTCTGACCCTCATCCTGGATCTGGGACGAATCCAGGCACATACCATGTGCTGAATACAACCAATACTGAATATTGGTTGAAATATAGCTGATAACCAGCTGAGATTTGGGACATGAGTTTGAATTGGTGTTTCCCAGGAACAGTAAGGCTGTGGAAAGCAGATTTACGCTCAAACTGGCTAGATCAAAATCCTAACGAGCTAACTACCTTTTAACAAAATTCATTCTTTGGCAGTATACACTTAAAATGTTTGAAGTACAGGGTTTTTCTAACCAGCTTCCACATTATTGACTCACCGCATTAACTGGTGTATTGTTCTATGGTCCCATGTCATGCATGTAAACACACATCTCATCTTCATGGCACCTGAGCCCCAGCAGCCAGTCCAGCCCACTGTCTCTCAGGACGCCCAGGTCTTCCTATTTGAAGGGTTAAACTGGGTGCTGACGGGATCAGCGTGTTTGTTCTCAAACCTGCTTATGCCAGGTGCACTTACTATTGGAATTATGTAATTTAATGAAATGGGATGTGAACGTTTTATAAACTGATTAAGTACAGGTATACAAAGTCACTGCTGTGAGTATATTGGAAAAGATTCAAAATTAGTTACTACAAAAGCATTTCTGTCAACGTGAGTGGGTTGTGATAACTACAGAAGGTGGGGGAATGTTGTAAAAATCCAGAAGGATTCTAGTCCTTGTAAGTTCTAAGACACTGAGATTGGGAATCATAGACTGTATTATGTGAGTGGTTCATGAAGGAAGGTCCACGGGGAGTCCCATTAGACCTTTATTCAAAGAAAGGTCATGCCCCAAATGATGTGAGGGTGCATCTCCTGTGCTGTGTGCCTGGCAACCAACTGTGTCTCATCCCAGAGAAGCAGGACGGTCAGTCACCATGGCTGCAAGTTAAAGTCTTAAGGTGTGTATGTGTCATTTTTAAAAGATTTCTGCTTTAATCCGTTTTCACCATTAATTAGTTCAGGCCTGCGTGTGTTGGATGAGAGGATTTGACTGTGTGAATTAACATCAATGCCCAAGAAGGCAAAGTTCTTCCTTTGTATTAAAAAACCCTCTTTCCCCTTCCACTTCCTGTTATTGGCAAGATCTGGAATAGATTTATTATAATAGCATTAAATATTACCCTTTGGTTTATGTGTAGACAAAGGAATGTATGCATCGTATGTGTGATGTACCAGCCCCCATTGTGACATATTCTTTCCCGTTCCAAATGGCAATATTAGATGAGATTTCTTTGGGATTAAAAAAAAAAAAACCAAACCGGGAACAATCTTCAGTTGAAATGGCAAAGGAAAGCATGACAGGGGGAGAAAACCTTTTTCACATCAGTTGGTTGGGTCCTTGTTTCCTTTCAAGGTATTTCCCCTCTTCACCATCTAAGAAATGATTGAGTGATTATAGGCATGGGACAGTGACTGCTGTCTTAGGCCTAGCACTATACGCAGCTCCCCCAAAGACCTACCTTCCCACTGCACGATTGGACCGGAAGGATCCAGGATCACCTTAGGCTCATGGGCTTAAAATGCTGTCAAGTAAATTTCTCCAAAATAATGTTTTCTTCACCCTCTATTCTCTTCTCCTTTGTCCCTGTTTTAATTAAGTATAGAATGTTTAGAATCCAGGACAGCGTGTGGATGAATTGGAGGAGACATGCCTTTGGAATTCTCCAGTGTTACCTTTGGACCTCTGTACCCATTGGGATGAGAGTGGAGTGGAGCCTTCGTGGTGAGCAACCAGGCAAACCTCATGAGAAATGAAGGCCACGGGGCACTGCTTTGATGGTCCCCGCAAGCAGCCGAGACAGGTCTTTGCTGATAGTAGGAAGCTGGAATGAGATTTTGGTACCGAGAGAGGCCTCAAGCTTTTTGTACCTCTGTGCTCCTCTCCACTGTATTACTTTGCACATTTTTAGTATGACTACTTTTTTCTTTTAAACATGATTTTTTTTCTTTTTTAAAAAATTTGTTGGCTGTGTTGGGTCTTTGTTGCTGCACGCGGGCTTTCTCTAGTTGCAGCGAGTGGGGGCTACTCTTTGTTGCGGTGCGCAGGCTTCTCATTGCAGTGGCTTCTCTTGTTGTGGAGCACGGGCTCTAGGTACGCGGACTTCAGTAGTTGCGGCACTCGGGCTCAGTGGTTGCGGCACCTGGGCTCTAGGGCGCACAGGCTTCAGTAGTTGTGGCATACGGGCTCAGTAGTTGTGGTTCGCGGGCTCTAGAGCGCAGGCTCAGTAGTTGTGGCACATGGGCTTAGTTGCTCCGCAGCATGTGGAATCTTCCCGGACCAGGGATCGAACCCGTGTCCCCTGCATTGGCAGGCGGATTCTTCACCACTGCGTCACCAGGGAAGTCTCTAGTATGACCACTTGATGTAACATAAGGTAGCAAACAGTGCATACCTTGCCTTCTTAATCTAGCTTCAGCCCCTCAAAAAAACAATGGTCATATTGTGGGCATGAACTTAACAGATATAAATAAAAAAATCTATGACCGGTATGTGAAGTCTGCATTTAATGAGGTTAGCTAGAGAAAATAAATTTTTTGGTCCTAGCAAGTGATCCTGTTGCCAGACACCAGAAAAATGTTCAGAGGGCCAACTGGCTCTGATGACTAAGTCTCATAATGAAGAGAAAAGGAGTGGAAGAATTGTGGAGTAAGGAATGGAATTGAGAATTTAAAAAAAAAATAAGGTTTGAAGTCATTAGAATCCTAAAGTTAATATCTGAGTGTTTTCTACCAGCTGACTTCAAAGGCATTTTGTTCGGCTTAAAACCTCTGTGCTTCAGTTGTCTGAAGCAAACCCTGTCTTCTCATCAAGAAAATGAACCCTGTTGATTGATCCTCTGGGACTCATAATGCTGGCACTTTTTTTTTTAACTTTTCTGCAGTATGCGGGCCTCTCACTGCTGTGGCCTCCCCCGTTGCGGAGCACAGTCTCCGGACGTGCAGGCCCAGCGGCCATGGCTCACGGGCCCAGCCGCTCCGCGGCATGTGGGATCTTCCCGGACTGGGGCACGAACCCGCGTCCCCTGCATCGGCAGGCGTACTCTCAACCACTGCACCACCAGGGAAGCCCTGGCACTTTTAAGCATCCAGCATTGAGTTAAATAAAAGGATAAAAAATTGGCTGAAGATTCCCAAGTGTCATTGGTGCTCGTAGTCAGGAAGAACAGCCCAGTGCAAAGCGTCTTTAGACTTTTTAGAGGCATTTCCCCCAAACCTCTGAGATGATGAGGTCTGCCCGTAAGATAGAGGTGAGCTCGGCAGAAGCTGGCAAGGTGGCTGAAGGGATTAAGCTCTCCACGAGATGAGTCTCATCTCTCATTAAAGGTCAAATCACAGGGATAAAGATATTTTTTAAGCCAAGAAAACCACGTAGGAGAAGACTGCTTCATCCACTGATCAGAAATGTAGTCATTTTCCAGCAACAGAAACATCAACAGAGCGAGGCATCAGTATATCATTTGCAAAGCATTTTCCTCTCGCAGGCAAAGTCATGCAGCTGTGTGCTTTGCACTACTCTGTCACTGCAAGGAGCCGAATGACAAACAGTGGAGCAT